ATATGGATGTTTGCAACAAAAGTGATAACCTTATAGAGATATTACGCAAGATCAAGAAGTTAGGCCACCCCATTAATTGGGCGAGCTTGCGGACATGGTGAAGAACCTAAACATGTTTTAGCTTTGTCTAACATATAAAGCCTAAAAGTTAGATGATATTTTTATTATTTGTAACCCATTATATCTCTCTTGATGTTTTCCCATTTCATTTGTTGGATTACATATTCTAAAAGAAAAAGACAATTAATGAGAGATAAATTTATATTGTTGGGATTTTCTTGGATTGTTGTCATTATGTTGTTCTTATATTTAGTTTTGCACTACCTTTTTAAAAATTGAGGTTCCTTTATCATTTCCTAAAACCAATGTCAGTTACCTAAGTCGCCGTTCGTCCTACAACTATCAGAATTGATACTTTTGGGGTGTTAATTTTTTTTTTAGCTTTATTATTATGTACCTGCCCGCCAGAAGTTCAATTTGGTTTAATAGATCCCTTGAATATATATATTTTAACAGGTTTTTGAAAAATGCTGATACAGTGATGGTAGACATAGAAAAGGCAAGACAAGCACGACTCTTATGCCGATACATGATTAAAACAAAGCGGATAAGAGTGTGCTTAATGTGTTAGGGATTTTCTTCTGCCTGCCGTCAAACTGGCCTTGCTTCAACCACTAATAGGAGTAGTAATTGCGTCTATCATTGAAGGCAGCCAAGAGTCACTCAGGGCTTTATTCAGCTCATTCACCCTCCGTTACTTTTAACGTATATATACCATTCTTTCATAAAAGGAATAGGAAACGAATCCCTTAAAAGAAGCGTCGTAAATGGTTTTGGTAACAAGTACTTTTTAAATATTGATTCCTTTCCAGTCCGATCAAGAGTTACGATATCCACGTGCACGTGAAAAGGACACTGTGAGGACAGAAGGAGCTGCGGCCTCGCTCTCGCCTTTGGCTCGAGCTACTTTTGCTTTTGGGGACAGATAGCTTGCGGCCCAAGTCTACCTCCCCAAAAGCAAGCCTAGCTGAAAAGGGAGGGGATGCGCCTCGCGTATAGGCTCGCTGCTTTGAAACCTGTGCCAGCTCGATAACAAATTTCTCATAACGAGCACGCTGTATGTTTTTTGATAATCTTTGAAACAAAGTGCTAATCTCGCAGTCAACTGTTAAGAAGCGGCGGAGAGAGGTGTAAATTATGGAAGTGTTTCAGAATGAAAACTCCATCGAATTTTGACAAGTTGTGGAAGTAGACGGTCTGAATATCAGGATTTTGTCTATAAAACCAAGTATGGACCGCAATACTAAATCAAGACAATAACATACAAACTCAACAAATAGTAAGGACCATATTGAGTAAAGGTAAGCAAACAAAAAATCTCATTATTCAAAATTTGATAGTATAAGAATCACTTAATATGTTCACATTTCATGTTTTGTTAACACATAGAAAAGGCAAGGCAAGCAAGACACGCACGACTGTTACGTCGATATATTTTAAGCAAAGGGCAAACCGAGTGAGGGACACACTGGCAAGCAACATACCATCTCAACAAAGTGTATCAAGTAGATTGAGTGAAGGTATATACACAAACTATCAAAACTAAAAAAATAATGAAACTGAACATTAATTAACACACACTTAATGAGTTCGTATATATTGTTTACTGATATCCAATATACCAGCTTTGGTTCAATAGGGTCCCCTCAAACTTATTGTCGAAGGAGGATGATTGATAGTGGGGAATGTTCAAAGTCATCATGCCAAAAACAAAGAGTGGCGTTAGAAGTAAATGAAATGCACGACCAGGCCAATCAAATTGACACCCACTTAACAATAGGTATAATCATAATTGGCATAAATCATGTTGTGAAAAGCTTATTAATATGTAGACAAGAAATGAACCTTGAGTTTTCATGGCATGCAGCTACAACAACAATTGGATATAGTAGCGAGAGCAACATACATGCACATTTTTATGGAAGAATAGAGCGATAAAGTAAAGCCACTATCTTCAAATGCTTTTACATGTATTTAGATGTAGAATGCCATTTGTAACTGAAACCAATATCATAACAGGGAAGTACAAAGAAACATGAAATTTTGGGCCACCAACAAAAAAATGTGTAGATTGCGGTGCAAGGGTTTAGATTGAAGAAAGAGTGAAGAGTGTAGGCTCAGTTGACAACCCTAAGCACAACATCTGTTGTCAAAAGGGGAAGATTCAACTCCTAAAACTCAAGAAACCACCTCAATTCTTAAGAACCCTTTTAAATCCAGATGGAGGGACATGAAATAAAAATTTCAAGGAGAACATCAGGCCATATAACTTCATCTTCGCATTCACGTCTATGGGAGGAAGGGTTCATAGAAGTGTTAATAGAGGTCCCGGGCCATATGTCTTCAAATTACACAGACAAAACTATCACAAGATAGGCTCATTACTCCCTCCTGTTGGTAAACAACCAAGATTCACCCAACTTTATATTTATGATACTCAAAATGAGGTAGCGAACAGAATCAACTCCCTCACAAGCAATGCCACCAGTGAGTTGGATCCTGAAATAGTTACTGGTCTTGCAAACATGCTTTATGAAAACAATGAACTTTCTAAGGTGTTTAAAATGGCAAAGAAACGATTTGCTGTCATTGAAATGCCAAGTGTTCAGGTACGCCTAATTGGTGTTCGGTCAAAAGATTGTAGGGAGTACAACGTACTAATTGCAGAGTAGTTCATATCATTAATTGTTGGAACAGGTGACCCAGAACAAAGTACTAGAGATGTCATCATAGAGGAAATGAGCTATGGCCTTCGAAGGATCTCTAAGAACCACCCCAGTTTTATGGCCTTATAATATCCATTAGTTATTTCCTTATGAAGAGGATGGGTACAGAATTGACATCCCCCATAAAGATGCTGAGACCATAACTAGAAAGAAAAAGAAAACAATCACCATGAGATAGTATTATGCTTATCAATTGTATGAGGAAGTAATGACTCTCAAACATTGTGGGAGGTTACGCCAACAGTTCACAGTAGATGCATTGACATGCATTGAAGAAGTGAGGCTAGATTATGTCTGCCTCAATCAAACCACAATAAGAAAGGAAGTTCTGCGTGGGTTGATAGATGCGATTTCTTGAGGGGATACAACACCCGCCTCAATAGGGCAACGTGTAGTATTACCTTCATCATTCACTAATAGCCCCAGATTTTGAGTGCAGAACTACTAAGATGCAATGGCCATATGTAGATGGACCGGGCCACCAGACTTATTCATCACATTCACGCGTAATTCAACATGGAGTGAGATTAGAGAATTTGTAGCATTGAATCCAGGGCAGCGGTCTCAAGATCGCCCAGACATCGTGGCTCGTGTGTTCGAACTAAAGCTCGATGAATTAATCAGAGACTTAACAACAAATGAACATTTTTGAAGGGTTCTTGCAGGTATGGAGATAAATAAAAGAGTTACAAGTACTGAAAACTTTGAGATTAATAAAAAAAAAACAGAAATTAATTTTGCATTTTGCATTTTTTTTTATTTTTTTTTTGCAGTTATATACACCATTGAGTTCCATAAGAGAGGTTTACCACATGCACACATACTTCTTTTTCTAAATCCGGAGGATAAGATTAATAACCTTGAAGACATTGACAACATAATCTCAGCAAAACTTCTAGACAAAGAAGCCAACCCATATGCATACGAATTAGCTGTCCAGCTAATGGTACATGGGCCTTGTAGGGTTATAAATCGAAGTTCTCCTTGCATGCAAGATGGAAATGCTCCAAATACTATCCTAAAGATTTCAATTCTGGAACAACTGTAACTGATGAGGGTTTCCCAATATACAGACGACGTGATGATGGTCGAACAACTATTAAAAATGGCCACACAATAGATAATAGATTTGTCATCCCTCACAATGTTGATTTGTTGGTGAAGTATGCAGCCCATATCAAATACATGAATAAAGGACCAGATATGGCTCTTTCAATGATCGAAGAAAGGCAAACACCTACAATGGAGAATCAAAATAATGGATCTGAACAAGTAGTTGATGAAATTGCTTTCTACCTAAACTGCAGGTATTATTCACAAATAGTTATTAGTACTTCAATAAACATCTTTTTTTATATATGCTAAACATAAAATAACCACTTCAGTGGTGTTCATGAATGTAGGTATGTCTCGGCCTCAGAAGCAAGCTGGTGAATATTAGGTTTTGAAATACAATATAAGGACCCCGCTGTTGAGAGACTAACCTTCCATCTAGAAGATGAACATGAGGTAATGACAACGAAGCACTTGACACGGCCATTGGAAGAGTAGGGGCTCGAAAAACTAGCTTGACAGATAGGATGGAGACCAACAAGTTGTTTCCAGAAGCTCGAGAGCTCACATACGCCGACTTCCCAACCGAGTGGGTGTGGAAAAAAGATTTGAAAATATGAAGGCGAATTAGGGGGCTTAAAATAGGAAGAATTTACTTTGCTCATCCTAGCTCCGGTGAAAAATACTATTTGAGGATGCTACTCAACATTGTCAAAGGTCCAACTTGCTTCCAAGACATTCGCACAGTCGATGGAATCATTTATGCCACATACAAGGAAACATGCTATGTCTTAGGATTACTTGATGGGGACAATGAGTGGAATGAGGCTCTAAAAGATGCTGCTACATGGTCAACCGCAGCATAACTACGTGAGCTTTTTGTAGCAATTCTACTCTTCTGTGAGGTGTCAGAAACAAAAACTCTATGGGAGAAGCATTAGCAAAACCTTTCCGATGATATACAGTATAGACAACGACGTCGTCTAGGTATTGAAGGGTTGTGTCTAACAGAAGATGAAATCCAAAATTACTCGCTCTATGAGATTGAACAGATCTTAAAATGAGGAATTAGAAGCCTAAAGGAGTTCCCTGGAATCCCGTTTCTTGATATGACCCTTCTTCAAGATATTGGAAAAAGGATGGTTATGGAGGAGCAAAATTATGACACATGCACAGACTCAAGAATCAAATCACCTTCAAAGAGGTTTAAAGGTTGAGCAGAAAAAAATTTTGGACACTCTACTTCAATCTGTTTATCGACAGGAAGGCTGGGTGTTCTTTGTCTATGGAAGTGGAGGCATAGGGAAAACTTATCTATGGAGAGCCTTAATATCAAAGTTAAGATCTGAAAATCACATAGTCCTCGCGGTAGCATCATCGGGTATCGCATCATTACTCCTACCAGGTGGACGAACAACACACTCGAGGTTTAAAATACCATTTGCACTAAATGAGTATTCCTGTTGCAACATTGACCAAGGATCTGATCTAGCCCACTTAATAGAAAAGGCAAGCCTCATTATATGGGACGAGGCACCAACGGCACACAGACATGCCTTTGAAGCAGTTGACCGTACATTTCGAGATATCATGCAACTACGTCACCCAACTTCTATGGAAAAAGTATTTGGTGGCAAGGTAGTTGTGTTAGGTGGAGATTTTGGACAAATCCTTCCTGTTGTTAAAAAGGTTGGTCGAGCAGATGTCATAGATGCGTCCATTAGCAAATCCTTAACAATATGGCCACATTGTACCGTCTTTAAATTAGAGACAAACATGAGATTATTGCAAAGTAGTAATGAAGAAGAGAAAAGACAACTAGCTGATTTCAGTAACTGACTATTACATGTAGGAGATGGAAAATTACCAGCAATTGCAAAAGAAGGGGAGGATGAACCAATGTGGATTAACATACCTGATGACTTGTTGATAAAGGCCAGAGAAGATTCAATAGATGAAATGGTGGAAAGTGTGTACCTAGACCTTCTTCAAGAATACACCAACCCAACATACTTACAACAACGTGCCATACTTACGTCGAAATATGACATGGTTGATAAGATCAATGATCACATACTCAAAATGATACCAGGAGGGGAAAAAGTCTATAAGAGAGCAGATAGAGTATGCCCAATTACTAAGACAGGTGTGAATGTCGAAGCATTATGCCCAACGGAATTCTTGAATACACTGCAGTTACCAGGAATACCAAATCGTGAATTAAAACTTAAGGTGGGTTGCCCTTGAAGGGGTGTCCTCGATCAATTACAACAATTACTATATATAATATAGGATTAATTAAGGAGATTATTTATTCGGTTATTTTAGGAATCGTAATGTTTTGCTAGAAACCAACTACGATTTGCAGGCCTATTATTTAATGGGCTTGCTGCTAAATGTAATCGGATCCTATGAGGTCACACATAAAAGCACGAGATGAAAAGGCACACCAAGCCCAATAAAGGTTAAGTGGGCGGTTGTGTGAGGAATTATTAGTGAGTTGGGCTTGCTAATCTTGTAACCTAATAACTTCTATATATTAGGCCTATTACTATGTATGAGATACACAATTACAGAGAGAGCAAAAACAACGTATAATATTTCTCATATAACTGCATCCCTAAAAAGTGAGAAGAGTGAAAAGTTTCTTCCTCCTTCTTCCGTACTAGCATACGTGGGATTCATCTCAGGTTTTGTGGACCAAGTAGAGGAATCACAATTGAGGCTCTGGATCTCCGAAGGAGGACAATCTAAGGCTAACGAGGAGTACACGCATCAAAGGTATATCTGACTACTTTATGTGACTCGTATTATTTATATGCATGAGATCCTATTTTAGATGTTTAGGAAATGTTCCTAAAATTCCGCTATCGCATCTAATATGTTCCTACAACCCTATTATTATGTAGCGGAACATTGACCATAGTCGTGGACTTTGCAATGGTACTAGACTAATTGTCACAAGATTAGAGAAACGAGTAATCCAAGCCGAGGTTATAATTGGAACACCTGTGGGAAGAAGGTACCAATCAGCAGGGTGGAAATGTCACCATCTGATACACAGTGGCCATTCACCTTAAAGCAAAGGCAATTTCCTCTAAAACCATGTTTTGCAATGACAATCAATAAGAGCCATGGACAGACATTCGAGCAAGTGGGGGTATATTTACCTGAGCCCGTATTTAGTCATGGCCAACTTTATGTAGCGGTATCACGAGTGACTACCCGTACAAGCCTCAAAATATGTATCCCCACACCTACATCAACTAAAGAGGAGAGCAAGTCCACAATGAATATAGTGTACAAGGAAATATTCTCTAATGTATAATCATCTTTGGTTCTAAATTTAATAAAATATAATCAACCGTAGTATTAAACATAGATGTGTTTATCTCAAATTGAAAACGTTTTACAATGTCTTTGCAAATAATGAAGTTATATGTTGATTCCATTCTAACTATATTTTAATAGTGGCAAGTGATGGATTGAAACCAAGCAGGTTTGTATGCACTTCAAAAATTTGATCCTAACATATCCTAATGATTAGTTACCTTGCTTTAAAATTTTAAAATACAAAATAAACAATTAGCTATCAATTTTACAGGAGTGTAGACATCTAAAAATGTCTCCCAAAAACCAAACCCGGTGATGAACAACCTTTCACTACCATTATTGGTCGGGTCAAGTATTTAATCTCTGGAGAACTTAAAATCCATATTCAATCAAACACAGTCAACGAATCAGTCCACAATTTTCAGTCCAAATGTTTATTAAGCATTGTTCAACCCTCATTTCAACCTAAACCTTTTAAATTCATTTCATATCATTTATTAACTAAGCCCGATTAATAAATATTAAAAACTTTAAACCTAATTAAGCCCGGAACACTGAAACGGAGCCTAAATTATCTCGTAATTAATGTTAAATAAAAAGATAAAGATGAATTTAGACGGAATTCCAGAAAAGGCATGTGCGGTGCCACGGCATAAATACCGCGACACGGCAGGTTCTGCTGTGCCACGGCAAATTGTACCGTGTCACAGCAATTTGCGTCGTGACGTGGTAATTTCTAGGTTAATTTTCTTCGCAGCACTTCATTTCTAGGGTTTCCGGACCTCACCCCTCTCATTTCCTCTATAAATACGAGGTTGATATCTCAGTTTCGGGGCACCAACACACACTCTCATCTCTCTCTCACACATTCTAAGCCTTAAACCTATTCTCCTAATAACACCATTCCTTCCCTAAGCACTCCAAGGAGTCCATACAACACCCGAAGTTCCATACTTAAACCAAGGCGTGAAAGGTAGAACCGATTGAGGGTTTGGACCAAATCAAATCTACTTTTATTTAATTTAATTTCAATTTGATTTATATTTATTGAAGTTACTAACGTTTTATTCATGATGTAGCAATTTAAAGAAGCGTGGAATGTGAGTAATTAATTCACTTAATTACTCTTATTATTATCCTTATTGCTAGTATCATGATTAGGCTTATTACTATGCTTTGATTTGACTAACGTTATTATGGTTAAATTGCTTCCAACATTATTGTTTATTCTATTGTAATTGTTGATCACCATATTGCATGTTTATAGGGAATATGTAATTGAATATAACGCCTAATAAGATAATTTGGACGACCGTTTTAGGTTCCTTTTTAATCTTAATGTTTAATCAAGTGGTCACTAATAATTAGAATTATATGTTGCATTAATATTCAACCAATTTAGCTTAATATTAGTTTGGAACAAAATGAATCTTTGTTTGTATGCCTTTGAGATCGCAGGAAATACTTTTCACAATAAGAATCGAGTAGAGACCAATACATGTGAATGTGACTCCATGACTCACTTCGTACCATCATCCCCGATCCTCCTTTCGTGGTTCCGAACCATATGGAGTTAGTAATCTCATGGATTATGAATGGGGTGTAACCTTCACGGGCCAATCGTTGTTGCCTATCGTTGTCCCTTAATCGTGGTTGCCTTAAAATGATTCGTGAACGGTTTACCAATTCCTTAAAAACTTGTTGGCAGCTCCCTATTTTCCTTGTCCCTAATGTCAATTCCCACTTCCTATGAGTGCCAAGCATATTCACAACATGCTTAGGTAGGCGCGCTTCGAATGACGCTTACAAGGAGCATAACTCTGACATATTCATACTTTATGCAAATTAGTATATCACAAAAGGAATAGGGGTTGTTAAATGTCGCTCCCAATTTACTAGGCGTCGCTCGCATTTTTTACATTAAATTCCGTATTTACCCCTCGTATATAAATACTCGCGACACTCACTCATGACACTTACAACACATTTCACGCTCTCATACTTCTCTCTCTAAAATTTTATTTCTCTAAAAATCTCTCCTAAAATTAAAAAATCAGAAATTTGTAAAAAAAAAAAAAAAAAAAAAACTGAAAAAAAAATAAAAAAAAAATTCAAAAGAAAAACACCCACAACCCACCACCAATCCAAGGAGGGTAGAAGAAATCCGGCGATGGCGGACCCGCGGCAAATCAGGGTGACGTACGATGGTCGTGGCGGCGGCATTGGAGACGGCGAACAGGTTACTTTTCGCAATTTGGTGGTTCAAATTGGGAAAAAAAACCGAAAATAGGGACATCCGCCTGAAATTTCCGGATGTCCCAAGGAGGATCCGGAAATTTCAGGCGGATCCTCCTTGGTTTTCCGGAAATTATTGGCATGATTGAGAGCATATTTAATTAAACTAAATGTTTAATTTGGTTTAGAATATAAAAAGGGAAGTTTATGATGATTCATATAATTGTTATTGATGCTATAATCATGAGAATTGAGTTATTAAGTGTCTTAATACACATGAATAAAAGGAAATGCAGTGTCTAAGTGCACTTAAGGAGTTCTAAACACCGAGGGATAGGATTTGTGGTCCTTTATGCGCTTAAGGTGTTATTTAACGCCGAGATAGTTTAAAAAGGGTTCAACATTAAATTTGCGTGGTCACTAATTATTCAAGAATTAAATCGGTATGTTTGATTGCTTGAATGATTTATTACAATTGATTGTGTCATGGTTTGAGAGTCACCACCAAGTATAAATATATGTAAACAACGTAAAGTGAAAGAGATTACGCACCAAAACTCTTGCAACGTATATACCTCGAGTATGAACATATGGGGGGAGTTATGGGGTTTTACATTTAACCATAGCTTCTACTGGGAGTACATGACGCTATATTTTCCTTTATTTATATTATGCGCAGGATGTCTAGTCACTTTCATGTGGCATTTGCCTACTTGGTTAGCTCCCGGTGTAGTTTACCTCAATCTATTTGGATCAGGGATTTGGTGGGAAACCCGTTCGATGCGTAATCAAATTAAATAAGCTATTTATTTATTTATTTATTGGTTGGTTGTATGGTTATGTTGTATGCTTGTAAACAGGTGCAACAAGGTAAGTTGTGTGTTACCGTGTACTGTTTACGCTTATGTACTTAGCTTTGTTGATTGTGTGTTTGTATGTTTGTTTGGCCTTGTCTTTATCTTGGCCCTACGACGACCCATTTCTAATGGCGAGTAGTGGGAACAAAGTAAAGGGAAGCTTTTCAGGTGATGAAGCATATTCATGATGAGCATGAGTGAAGAGTGAATCCTGTTTAGTTTCCATAAGAATATGATGTGTTTATTCGCTTGATTATTATATATTTGTTTGTGAGAATAACACAAAGGTTTTTAACATTCGTTGTGGGTTTTGATAAGGGCCTACAATGGTTCCAAGTTGTAGGTTGACTTCGTTTGACTTTAGTTTGCTTTTACTTTCGTTTGGTTTGACTTTTTAAGTTAACTTGTTTTGAATGGTTTTTAAAGTGAGTCTTCCGTTGCGTGTCTTTGATAATTTCCTTAGCTGTTTTCACGGTAGCGATAATGTCTTAGATTTTCCTAATTCGTATTTTAAAAAGAACAAAACAGGTATTTTAAAAGAAAGGAATTTCTAGGGTGTTACACGCTTTTACCCCAATTATCCAATTTAGAACTTCATCTTTAATCCCTAAAACCCTTCATTATTCAGACAACAAATTAGGAGAAAATAAGATGGGGGGCTGAAGAAGATGGGGATTGAACGAGAATGAAAAACCAATGAAGATGGGGTAGCTCAGCTCAACAAGATGGAGATTGAATGAAGAACCCTAAATTCTCTCTGGATGAATTAAATCAACCACATTTGCAAAATAACGGACCAACCAATTGTAACGGTCTTGGGAATCGTGCAACGATGTATAAATTTGGAGCATACAAGTTATACGTACAAAATACATACCAATACAAGACAGGGGCCCGCCAAGAGCATTTAATATTCAAAAAAATGGTGTACTAGTCCATCACATTGCTTGGCTAAGTGCTACCCCTCAATATAGGTTGTTAACTTTAATTCAAATATGTTCACTTTAAAATCCTTTTTAAATTACTAAACTTGCCCTAATATTTAAATATGAAAATAAAAGGCTTCCAAAATTATTTTAATAAATTGATTGATGAGTTTTTATTTAAAATCAACTTTTATATAATTAAATACAATTTAAAAATAATATAATACCTTCATAAAATAATAAATTAATTTATAAAGCGTATTTAAATACGGGTTACAACTTGCGTGCGGATCACACAGAAGGAATACATTAGGACCGTTAAATAACATACATGTAAAGGTTATTATCTAATATTCATTTAAAAATATCTATTAGTTCGAGGTCATAGTATCATGAAATTGAAAATCTCTTTTTTGAAACAAATCAATTCAATAATAAAAAGCCATACGACATCTACAAATGAAATTTAAATTAACAAATACATACAATTGAATCAAATAAGGGTTTTTTCTCATCAAAGCTACGGTCCTTGAATAAATCTTGCATAGTGGTACATCTCTCATACACATCGCTGAAATATACAACCTTTTCAATTCGGAGAGACGATCTAACGATTTATTATAGAGGTAGGAAGGGGTTTCGAAGGGAGAGAGGGGGTTATGGGGAAGGGGGAGAGGTGATAGGATGACTAAGCTAGGGTGGTTGGCCACATGCCTGTAGCAAGGGCAGGGCAGCTGGGGCAACCGCCCTGGGTCCCAACTTGAAAAGCCCAAGTTCAGTTATGAGATAAGGCCCCAATTAAAAAAAAAAAAAAGACAAGCATAAAGTCAATACAGAAGAATATCAAATGCCTTTTATAGTTCGTTCTTCCCTGATTATCCGCCCAATTAATTCACTTTCCAAAGTGATGAATAATTTGATTCTTTTTCCAAAAAATTGTATCTCTTCCCAATTTCTAGTCCAATGAATTCCATTCAAATGAAGTTGAAAATTTTAATTACCAGTTATTTTACTCTCTAATTTTCAATGGACATGAATCTAATTGTATATAATCCTCTTAGCATGTCCTCCATCACTCATCAAATTCTATTCTTTCCATTAATTTTTCATTAATATGTATAAATGATTTCAATTAATATGTATAATTGATTTCAAGAATTTAAAAATTGAAGAAAAAAATCGCATTTATTGGTTGGCTTGAACCGTTACTGAAGAGGCAATGATTAATTTGTAAGTTCATTATTCATATATAATTATAATTATGTAATTTTGTAATATTTGGTTGATTTCCCTTTAAAAATTGTTTCTACTATCTTATACTTCGTATTTTTTTATACTTGGTGGTTGTGGGTGGAGGTGCTGCTGCAAGAGGGGTTTGTGAGGTGGTGATTTGGCGTTTAGGAGTGGTGATGGTGGTGTGGTGAGGAGGAGTTAGAGAAGTAGAGATGTTGGATAAGGTGATGTGTCATGGTGGGTTTAAGGTTAAGGTGGCTTTATCAGTTTATTGTATGGGTTAGTGGGTGTTTGTGAGTGGTGAAAGAATAGAAGTTGCAATAAGGAAAGTTTTTCGTAGTATGTATCTGTAAAAAAAAGGTTTTGGGGGAAGGGAAGGGAAGGTGTGGGTGGGGTTTAGGGATCTGATGGAAAGAGTGGGGTTTTCTATTTTTTCTTTTTTAAATCTTTATTTTTTTTTTGAACTAATTAAATTGCAACAGGTGGCAAATAATTTGTTTTAAAAAAATTTAACCCTTTTTTCAGGTAACCAATGATTGAAATCGAAAAAAAAAAAAACACAAATGAAAATTAGGATTATTGCATAATAATCAAAAGTTAGGATTATTCAAAATAAACTGGTCAAAATTAAGATCATTAAATTGTATTTTTTCAAAAAAATAAAAATATAAAGCTTTGTTTGCGTGTGCTGACAAGGCGAAAACGAGGGTGTTCTTAACTCTTAAGCACGATCTGATCTGGTCGACGCGACTCACGGCCGTGGCTACTGCTTCATTTTACGGGCATTGGGTTTGCACCTTCACAAAATCAATTCATACCATCATCAATTACATTTGTGATTCCAATTCTTAGGAGAGAGACAAAACAATGGCGGATCCTGCTAACACAACGCTTGGTAAGATGTTAATGGACCACATAACTCCCGTTGTTATGGTGCTTACTTCTCCTCTTGTTGAAGATTCTTGTCACAAGAATGGTCTTAGCTTTGTTGATCTGCTCTCCCCTTTCTCTTCTTTCGACAACGTCGACGGTACATCTTTTTTCTCTTGCATTATTCATTGATTTGTTTCGATTTGGTTATTGGAGTGTAGTTTTAGCTGTGTTATTTTCTGGGACTGGTTTGGATTTTTCTGTTTGTGATTTGAAATGCCGTTGCGAAGTGATGTGTAATGTCACTGGGTTTGGTTCGAGTGTTTTGATTGGGATGTTTTAACTTTTAATTGATCTTGTGAATTAAGTGAATGCTGAAGCGTAGACTCAGTGTTGCCTAATTCTCCAATACATGATTAGGTTTTAATTAGGCCCAATTGTACCACATTCGTGCATTAATTCATCTTCTATGGTTTGCGGGGATCAGGTGATTATGCCAATATCGACGATACGTATTTATCTCTCTAGCATTTGTGAAATCGTCTGGTGAATTCCGGTTTTCTTATATTTGTTTTTAGTTTTCCCACAAGATACAGGGAGCAGTGTGTAAAAGTCTCTTGATTTGGGCAACATCTTGAGAGGAATGTTATGGATAGACAGTTTAGATGAATTGTGGCAGATTGGGTTGGCAATGGTTTTGAATAACCATACACTGTCTGTAATCTGTATGCATTTGAAGGAAACGTGGGTCTTGTCCATTACACGTTCAGCTGTTTGTTAAATTTTAAAACTTGTGGTTAGCTTGCCTATCCAATGTTTCCGGATGAACTGCTACAATGCACTCACCATATGTGGGTTAGAGCAGTGATCTTCAGTGGTTAAAAAACCTGAGAATTCTTAAGGCTTTTCAGCATAAATAATCAGTTGATACCTCATCACTGGTGAATCTAGGAACTATTGTCGTCTTACTAACACTAGTCTGATCCACAGTTAGGTGTTACTCTTGTTATTCAATCACATGTGGTATGAGTTGAAGGTTATTAAGGCTGCTTAAGGTTGTGAATGGTTTTGTACTCAAGTGGGTTTTACGAGTGATATGAATGTTGGAGAATCTCTCCAACCGTCAAATGAAGTTCAATTAATTTCAGAGTATTGAAAATAACACAACATAAAGGGAATGATCATAACTACATGGCTACTTGTAAATTATGTTAGAATAATTGTGGCCTAACATCATGGCTTCAAGTGTTTTAATGTGATGGTCCTTGTGGAAAAGTGAAGGATATAATGATTAGTTAAAACTGTGATGTATGTTGTATCAGTTTCAACCCCACCAGATCCAGGTGTGAACACAGAAGATAAGTTGGGGGGATATCGGATGTAGCTATAAATCATCAAGATAAATCAGATTGGCCTTTTCTTCTTTTGTCCCAAAAAGTCTTAGAGACCTACTAGGTTGACTGAAAGTGTAGGGCTTCCAGTCCTTGTAGTGAGGTGATTCCCTTGCTTGCACTTATGTCATTGGTAGCTGCCAGCATTAATCTGCATGTTATTGTGGGAAAGAGACATAGAGCTGAGGGAGGTAGACTATTGGTCAATCTGTCCATTTTTTTAACTTTCACATGCATCTGTTCTTACCTCTCTGTTTTGCCCCTTGGATGCAACTATCCTTTTTTTTTTTTTTTGGGTCTTTTTCTTTTGTATTTAAGATGAATCCATTGCTATTATATGCTTCCTATGTTTTTTTTTTCTTTATCTATATCTTTTATATTTTTTCCATTGCTATTATATGCTTCCTGTGTTTTTTATTTATCTGTATCTTTCATATTTTTTATAACTTGTGACAATTGCCTTTTTTTTTTTTTTTTTTTTTTTTTTAATAGAAGTTGCATATTACTTGAACAGTTGAGCATAACCTTCTATGGCATGTATTTACTCTAAAGATTACCAAATTTCCCTCCTCTACTAACATAACCACTCCTTCTATTCTTTTTTGCTGATCACATGAGCTGTGTAGACCACTACACTTACTTATCTACATTATCTATTTTTCATAGATTTCAATAAGTTGCAAGTAAAAATTAGGAGGAAGTATTTAATGTTAGTTTCTAAATTATTAAGTGGCTGGTACTTGCTATGCATATAACACTAATTCTGATTTTGTTATATATTTTCCTATTAAAAAAAAAAGAAAAGAAAAGAAAAATTGTCCGTTTCTCACGAACCATATCTGAAATTAGGACGCTTGCATGTCTTTGAACTCAACATCTTCATGTGAAACTCTTGGATCCTATTCAAGTTTTACACTCTTCTCTAGGTCCAAGCATCATAATGATGAAATGGTTTAATGTAATACAAAGTACATTTTCATAAAATTGTGCAATTGTAAAATGCTTAGGACTTAAACATACTGCCTTAGTTCCCATTTACTCGACTCACTTTGACTTTTAGCACGATTTAGATCTTCAATAATTTTAATTATTAATTTGTAAACAATAAAAAGTTGATATCTTGCTAAAGTACTTTAAGGTAAGTCACAATATCATGCTACTAATATACATTTTTTAAATAATAGCAAAGAAAGATGGTTAAAACAATGCTAAAAGTCAGAGTTTATGGGATAACAATATAGAGTGTAGTATAATCATAATGAAATGATAGGCGTGTATTATATCAAGTAGGTTTGATTGGAGTGGGTTCGGGAGATCTTTGAGTGTAATGAACGATTTTTGGAAGGTTGCAATACGAAATAAAGGCAAAAGGTTAGTGTGCATGATTGTCATGACTGTGCCCTATGGTCAAAAGGGAGTTTGTGCACTTGTGTTGTGGGGCATTCACACCCATTCTAGCATAACAATATATAACTTTCGAGATATGACTTATAGTACTTTTATTACTTTGAATGTTGTTTTGTTTTAGGATGAATTTCTGAGTTTCCCTATTCTTGTATGATTTTAAATTATAAAGAGATAGAATATCTTGTAATTCGGGAAAGAATAGAATTCTATGTCACAAAACAAGGGGTTGTGGGTCATTAACTCCTCTACAACGGTGATGATTCAGTTAGAGATTACCGACATTCTTAGGAAGCTTGTTAACATTTATGAGAAAAGGGGTTTATATGACACAATCTAGACAGGTTGTGTGGGTAGAGTGATTTTGTTGATTGCACTAATTGCATAGGAAATTAGGAATCTAAAGTTGTTTTCCCCTACTTGTTAGCGAGGGGTTTTTCGAGTGTATTGTTTGTGTTCCATTTAAATCTTGTTTCTTGCCTTAGATCTTTCCTATTTGTGCTGCTTGCCCTTTGCAAGCATGACAATTACCACTATAGAGATAAAAAGTATCTCTGTTTCTCTTTGCCTTACTTTTATGGTATTTATGATACTAATTTAAACCATGTTATTACTAATATGTGAAGACAAATTTCATTATAATAATTGCTGTTGGGCTAAGCTTAAAGTATATCTTTTAGATAGTTCAATTACTTCTCTACGCACAAATTTTTAGGTGATAAGTTGTTGATATATCATTAAAAGTTATTTAATAAAAAAGTGAACGTGCTTGGAGAAAGTGGCTATTATTTCATTGAAAAAGTATATGGGATAGAATATAGTGTATAAAGAGTGTAAAAATTCAAATAGCAATGCATCTATTGAGTAATGAAAGGTAGTAATTTCCTGAGTTTTGCAAGCCTATTACATCACCCCTATGGTTCTCAATGAGGCCTGTTATAAATTATGATAGGAACAATAGACTGAAAATATTTGCACTTGTCTCTTTCATGTCATTCAAACCTGTGACTCGTGAGGCCATAAAGCGGGAAACATCATTGAAATTTCTCTGAGGAAAGGCTGGATCAGGGTGACGGGAGACTGTCCTTTCTCCTATGTCTCCTTTTATATCATTTTCTTATGCTCACACTTAACTTTTGGTTCGTAGAAGCGTTTATGTCAAGCTGCAGTTTTTCTTTTTTTTTTTTGGGTATTTTTATGATGACAGAAAATTAAGAGACAACGAAACATCTGTGAAGCAATTATCTAAATTTTTGATGTTGGTAGTTTCTTTTCTCTTGTTGCAATTTCAGAAAACTCTAAACATAGAGTATAATAGTCTATGCTTTCTTCTCCAAAAATAATTATATGGTTCTGATTTATTTTACTTTCATTTCATTTGATGATTACATTAGTCTTTTGAGACTCACATAATGTTAGTTTACAAGTGGATTTGCAACTATTGGTTGCCTGAAATCTGTATGTAAAAAACAGTAGATGTGAGAAAAGAATTCTTGTTATATGTGCTTTATTTGTGTGCTTCCTGTGGTAAGCTATATAAAATTTTTTACTAATATTTTTTTAACTATGCTGTGTTTTTCTGTGTTGCAGTGCCTGTACGGACAGCAAGTGACCAGCCTTACAGGATTAGGAAGTTCAAATTGCGATTATTCTATGCTTCTGATATTCGAAAACCAGAACTTGAGGTATATTTCCATTTAAGTCTATGGGTTTACTGAATGGAAATTTCGAAGGGGGAGAAAAGTTAACTTTTTTGTTGTGGGACAACTTTATCTTTTATATTGTTTTGCAATTGTTGTCGGAACCATTTATCGTTCTTTTTAATTTTTTTAACTATGAAACATTTTTTCTGCAAAAACAAGTAATGATTAGGATCTTTAGGAGGGTTTATGTCTTGTGTTTTCATTGCACTTCCAATGTAAAATTGTCTAAATGCCTATTAGTTTCCTTGCCGGTCACCCCGCGTCAGCCCTCGTCGGGACCACCGAGTCGGTTTGTCCTATCGAGTGTTCACCTTAGTCATCCATGTGTGCTATAGTCCCCATAGGCCCTCCTATGTCCAAGACTATGCCCAAGGCTCCTAGCCATAGGGCCACTCTTAGGTCAGCCACGGACCCTTGAGTGAGCACTCGCCCCCTAAAGAGCTTTATTTTGATCACCCAATTGACAGTAACACAATAATGGGCTTGAGAGCCCAACCCTTTTGCTTATATTTTGATCTGAGAGCATGAATACGAAGAAATTGGAAAAAGGTTTCGTTGCTTATATTTAAATTTTTCAAAAGAGGGGGTAACTTATTTGGTTTCATGGACATGAATTCTGAATTTGCTGTGGTTCATCTAGACAGCAAAAGCGTGGTTGAAGAAAGTTGTTACTGATGCTGGGGAAAAGGATAATTATCACGAATCTTCAGAGATACATAGGAATGAAAATATCCTCCCACGTGAGTGCACTTCTGGTATCTATTAATTATTTATCTGATTTATAAAGATAAGCTGTCACCTGTGTATTCTGCAGATTCTGATTGTGAAGGCAAGCAGCATGTTCTTTATCTTTCTGTAACATGCAGTGTGTGTGTTCGCTCTTGATTGGGATCTGCTTGTATTTCCTGTTGTGCAGTCAATGGCATTATTACATATTATCTATGAAAGTTTGAGTTGACCTTCAATATTTATGTATGCCATGCATGGGGGCTAGGGTTGAGCAAGAGAATATTTTTTTCTGCTTGTTGTATGTCCTATTTTGCAGCTTATGGTCCCATTGGTTGTCTTTCTATGATTTTGAATTTTTGATGATCCATAATCTTTGGCATTAAATTTACAGTTGTTTAATGAAGGCAATTGGAATCTGGGTCTTAAAAACTAATATCTTTCTGCAATATTTGCAGTTCCGGAGTCAAAGGCATTGCCATCTTGGTTCCAGATATTCAACCAAGAGCTAATACAAGCCTCATCATTTTCTGATCATGAAGCATTTGACCATCCTGTTGCTTGTGAGTATCTTGTTAAATTTTCACTTGTCTGTTTGTGCATCCTTTTAAGCACTTGCTAATTAGTACTATACTATCATACTTTGTAAAGACTGAAGAATTGTGAGAAAAGAAATGGAAAGCATTTTCTGAAGTGAAGTCATGCTTTAACTCCTGTTTAAATCTTGTGCAGGCCTTTTGGTTGTTTCATCGAAGGATGAAGAACCAATCAATAAATTTGTTGACCTTTTCAACAAAACCAAGTTGCCCTCTCTTCTGAATGATGGTGCAATGGATCCTAAAATTCTAAAACACTATATTGTATTGCATGACAATCAAGATGGTCCTCTGGAAAAGTGAGTAGTATTTTCCTTAAGGCATGTTTCTCTGATGTGAGCATTTTTGTTTATTTATTTAAATATTTGGTTGAAGATGTGCCTCTTAGTCAGGTAGACATGCTCAGTTTGCTAATTTGTTTCTTGTTGTCATAGGTTAAATCCATGGTTAAGCTAACAGTTGCTTACCAATTCCATGCCAAAGTCATCTCAAACAAAACAAAAATCCATCTAATGCTGGTTAATCATGGAATTAAAACACGGCCAAGTCAAGCGCATAACTACCATTTTGTAACTGATTTTAGAGTTGCTGTTTGGCGAAACCTTTCCATAAAAACCACACCTTTTCATTGAGTTGTCCGTTACGTAACGGTGACTCGCCGTGTTAGAGCTATTTTTTTTTCCCGTCATGTCCATTCTTTTGTCAAAACTGGCCGAAATATATACATATGTAGTTAATGAAACTTATTGATCTTAGCAATTATTCATTTGCCATATATTTAACCCACTTATCTGATGATAGGTTTGGTAATATTATGTAAAAAGAATGCATTTAGTCTAAAAAATGTGAAAGAGTTTATAATGCATTTATGTGAATCTTTTGAAGAAAAATTATCTATTATTGCAAGCAACAATGCGACCTATATGTAATCTCTTAAGGGCAAGCCCACCATTCATCATGGAAGCCAAACAAACTCCATCCAATCTAACTTGCTACTCCGATGTGTAAAGAAACATGTGAACAAGACTCAGTGCTAGCAAAGCAAGCAGATATTCGGTGAAACCCGGCTGTCACACTGAGCAATATTACTTTCTGCCAAACTATTTTTACAGAGATTTATCTCTAATCCTGTAACCACCTCATATATCTGCTACATGGTAAGAAGCTAAGGATGTTCTTGAAACTTTCTAAGTCAGCAGCCAAAATAAATTAGTGTCATCCACATATTGGGATATTGCAAATGGGTAAAATGCACCTATTCTCTCTCCACCTGTGAATCTTCTATCTGTCCCTCAACCATACTTCTTTCTAACATTCTCCCTAAGACGTCAACTATACAATTGAAAAGAAAAGTAAAGAGAAATTGTCTTGCTGTAATCCTTGAGACGATGAAAAAACACTCCTTTGGGGCACACCACAACTGGAAAATTAAGCAGTAGGCAAACATCCGCAAATTCAATGCCTCCACCCATCGCCAAATCCTTTACTCTTAAATACACGAAAGTTCCAACTCATCGTTTCATGAGCCCTCTCAAAGTCCAGCTTAAAGACAATCCCCTTGTCTGACTTTCAATGTGCCTCATCTATTGCTTTATGAGCCACTAAAGGAGTATCCAAGATCTGTCTTTCTTCCTCAAAAGTAGTACATTGAGACTGTGCGATGTTTTAGACAAAATTTCTCCCAACCAGTTTGTGTTAACACCTTGTCACTATCTTATAGGCACTAGTAAGGAGACTGATGGGATGGTAATCCATCACCTTGATTGATTGGTCTTTTTAAGGAATTGGAGTATTGGACAATAAAGATGGAATTAATTATTTTTCCAATAATTTCTTAATCAAAAAACTCAAAAAAAAGGAAGAAGTAAGAAACTCTTCTTCGATCACATCCCAACAATCCTGGAAAAAAGCCATTGTGAACCCATTTGGTCCCTATACGCCAAACCTTACTTGTCTCCATAGCAAACACCGCTCTTCTTGAAATAATGTTAATTTATTTCTTCCATATACTAATATGTACCATGATTAGGGAGTTCTATAAATCTATTTCCTGTATTATTTCCTCCAAATTGCATCTTCCATCATTATTAATTAAGTACTTCTCTATCTGGATTTCTGTGAGATATATTTGGAACTGTGGCATTACTTACAGTAACACTTTTAGGTTGCTGATCACGAATTTCTCTTTCCTAAGATGCACTTGTATTGTTATGTTTATCTTGAACTCTTGAAGTGTGACATTGAATACTAATTGCGTGCCACCATTTTCTGTTTTAGGGCATCAAAGGTTTTGTCAGAGATGAAAAACACATATGGATCAACTGATTGTCAATTGTTGTGTATCAATTCTTCACAGGGTGGATCAGTAGATAGTCAGGCAAACCCTTGGTCTTCTTGTGTAAGTTTAGCTTAAGTGATCTAGTATTATGCCAAGATGTGTAATGTCTTGAATGATCTTTCACTTTCCATGTATATATCAATATTCTATGCTTTATATCTACAGCTAATATTTCACTTGAGACTTTCTTAAAGATAAAAATACTCATTATGGACTGGAACAGAGTGTGTCTCAGCTTGTATTGATATATATGCATATTTACTTCGTACTTGGTTTGTATATCCATGCATGGTTTAGATTAAGTCAAAGGTGGAACAAAGTGGTGTTTATTTTATTATTTTTTTTTTTTGTTTTTTGGTTTATTTTTTCTTCTTTGTATTCTGGTTGCAGAAACAAATCAAGGAACATTTTCTTGACACTGATAATATTGATCAGGTGATTGCTTCTTTGTCATTTTTTACGTCCTTTGATTTAGATCTATCAGCCTCCTTTTAATATATTTTTGTCGAACTGAGCAGATTAAGGTCCTCATGCAAGATCTAACGACCAAACACGTAATTCCACACATGGAGCAAAAGATACGGGCCCTAAATCAGCAGGTTTCTTTTGTTGTGCTATGTGTCTATCCTTCTCTCTTCTCTCTCTCTCTCTTAATAAATATTTCTCTTTTCTTTTTTCCATTTTTGGCATCTTTTCATATTTGATAGTCCTGAATCTGACATTTTCGTTAAATTTTAGCCCTATTAATTGCGTCTTTGGGTATGCGATTTTGCATCTCTGTGTGTACTTAGGTTTCTGCTACAAGGAAAGGTTTCAAGAACCAAATAAAAAATTTGTGGTGGAGAAAAGGGAAGGAAGATATACCAGATACCCCTGATGGCCCAGCGTATGCTAATCTGTATTCTTTGCTTACTTGCATACTTTTTCCGTTCTATTGCAACAATTGGACTTTTGCACTATTCATCACTTTTGTTTGACCATATAATATGATTTATACGTTAAGCAAAATATAGTCATGTGGGATCTTGTTAGATTCGTCTTATAAAATACTTTCACAATATCAACTTTTTATAATTTTTACTCTTATACAATTATAGACATTTAACATATAAAATGTGCTTTGGGATGCGTAATTTCATCATTGTTGCAATATTATTGGAACGGAGGAAGTATATTGATTTATCATAAATTTTAATCATGCTGTTCTTTTCTCCTTTATTTAAGGTATACTTTCAGCTCCACTGAATCACAAATTAGAGTGTTGGGTGATTATGCCTTCATGCTAAGAGACTATGATCTTGCTTTATCAAATTACCGACTTATTTCCATGGACTATAAGCTTGACAAATCCTGGAAACGTTATGCTGGTGTTCAGGTATCTTTCATTTTCATATATATTACTCATTTATAGGGGTCTGTATAATAATTTTCTTACCAGTTATTTGAGCTGCTTGATGTGTATATTAAGGACGCTCTGACATTAGTCCCAAACTGTAGCCTTTATGTCAAGTATGATCCTTCGTCGTTTTGCAGCAAAACTTGTTAGTTGTTACTGTTGAGTTGTTTGGTTGACAACATAAAATGATGGAAATGGAAATTCATGGGAATGGATAAGTTGGATTGTTGTTTGATTGACACAATAAAGCAAAAATGGGGGAAGTAGGAGTTCATGGGGAAATTTAATTTCCCACAAAACATGGAAAGTAAGTTACCAAGGGCCCCCTTGGTCAATCAAAATTCATGGGAATTTTAAATTCCCATATTGCCAACCAAACAAATTAAGGAAATTCCTTAGAATTTGATTAGGGAATTAACTTCTCATGGGAATTTAATCCCCGTGTTAACCAAACAAGCACTGTGTTTTTGTGAATCCTCCTTTGTATATCCATCATTTTTTTTTTCTCTTCTCCCTAGTCCCCTCTTTGGGAAATACTACTAAAGAAAATTTCTGTACACTCTGGACAGCTGTGGCTATAAATGTCTGATACCTTGTCCAATTTTCTTAAACATTAAACATATAGCAGCAACAATTCCAACAACATTCTAAAATGTATCTTGCTATTGGGACTTGAATAGCTTCATATATGTTGGCTTTTGGGCAAAACTGGTTCGGTATGCCAGGCTACTGTTTGGGTCTTCTGGCTTCAGTGGATAATATATTCTCTTCTATAGATGCATACTGCTTAGGGTGTATTTTTTGTGGGATAGAGGTGTTTACCTAGTTTCCTTTTGGTGCCACTCTCTGGGGTTTTCCAGGCCTCAGCTAATTTTATGCATGGATGCACACAGTCTCCTATTTTAATTAGGTTCTGAATGGTTTACTAATCTAATTTTTAATGGATTTTTTCTTGGAACTGGTCAAAATCAAATCTAGTACAGAATAGAGAGGCTTTTACAATTGTCTGAAATTATTTAAACATGCACTATAATTATATTCATGATAGGCAATCAAGCTAGCATTGTTTTTTTGCTTTTAAATTTCTTCTAGTGGTTTATATTTAATCTATTGGTTGCAGGAAATGATGGCATTGACTTACTTTATGATGGATCAAGCAAGCAAGGAAGCAGAGAGCTGCTTGGATAGTGCCTTCACTACATACTTAGTATGCATCTTTCTTCTTCCCTGCAGCTGTTTTTAGCTTATATAGTTAAATTTAGATCAAGAAAATCTTACTTCAATGTAAAAGTCTGTCACTGGGTTTATGAAGATGATTTCGTCCATGGATGATGGTGCTGTAACCAATTGTTTGGTTTCATTTGTGTGACAATGGTTCTAAAATGCTGCAGAAACTTGGGCTGCGAGGCCAGCAAAATGCTGTTCGTTGCGGGCTTTGGTGGGCTGAAATGTTGAAAGCAAGGGATCATTATAAAGAGGCAGCCAGTGTTTACTTCCGTGTTTCTGGTGAGGTAATGCTCCTTTTTCACCAACTTGTCTCGTGAACATGGCTTCAAAGTCTTACATTCACCAACTTCTTCAGGAACCATTGCAGTCAGCAGTAATGCTTGAGCAAGCATCTTACTGTTACTTATTTTCAGTGCCACAAATGTTACGAAAGTATGGATTTCACCTCATTCTTTCGGGTGATTCTTATAAAAAATGTGCTCAGGTACATATACTGAACAACAAGGGCCTTCAAGGTTTCTTATTAGTATGTAATTCTTTCTTTTTTTCTTTCTTCTTCTTCCTCTTCTTTTTTTTTTTTTATTCTTTTTTCTTTCTTTTTTTTTTTTTTTTAAATTTTAATTTTAATTTTTTGTTGTTGTTGTTGTAAATTTAATGTTGATGCGCATCAGATGAAGCACGCTATTCGTACATACAAAACTGCTCTTTCTGTATTCAGTGGGACTTCCTGGGGTCTAATCAAAGATCACATACATTTCCAACTTGGCAAGTAAGATGAATGAAATACATGAATTGGTGCACCTTAAATTTGACTTGTTAAAAACTGATATAGTCTTCACATTTTATCTGGATCATCAGGTGGTTTGCTTTACTCGGAATGTTTGATGTGGCAATTGAGCATATGCTAGAAATTCTGGCCTGTACCCATCAATCCAAGGCAGCACAGGAGTTATTTCTTGGGGATTTTCTTGAACTTGTTCAGGTAGGTCACTAAAGTAATGATGATTTGTTAAAGTATGTCCTCATTGTGCTTCATGTACTGTTTCAGTAGTTCAGCAGCCTTGAGCTTTGTCTTCTCCTGATAGTCTACCTTACAAAGACATGGAGTTTAAAATATTATTGGAACTGTCTCCTAGTCTGGAATTTTTTGTGCACAAATTTCCTCCTGGTTCCACATTAACAAACTGGCTTTCTTCTTGAAGTGGTTGAGGACTTGATGCACTTAAAACTTTAAAAATTAGCTGGTCGCAGGTTAAATATTGTATGGCTCCTTTGACATTTTATTTGATACTCTACAGAAAACAGGGAAAACATTTGAAGTTTGCAGACTTCGTTTGCCTGTTGTCAAGCTCCCTTCACTTAGAGTCGTCTTTGAAGATCATCGAACATATGCTTCACCTGCTGCTGTGAGTTAAATTGCTTCTGCAATGAAATCTATGTTCCATATGCCATTTCTTTCCTAAATGTCTCTGATTTAAATAGTTTTTTTGTCTGTTTGGCTGTTTGTCTTGAGAGAAGACAATCCTAACCTTTTCATGTACCTTTGTCTCTCAAAATAAAAATGTGAAAATAGAAAAAAAAAAAATGAAAAAAAAAAAAAAGAAAGAAAAGATAGAACCAAGGGTTTGACAAACCATTGTTGTTATAATCTAGGTTGGTGTAAGAGAAAGCATATGGAAGTCATTGGAGGAAGACATGATTCCATCATTATCGAACGCCAAATCCAACTGGTTGGACTTACACACGAAGCTTGTGCCGAAGAAATGTAAGCAATCAAGCATCTGCATTGCTGGAGGTATGAGGATTTCAGGGTAGTAGAATAGCTGGTGTAATTGCTTCCATCTTTTATATCAAATAGTGATATGTTGAGGATTAGGAGGCAGCACAATAGAACAACTTTTTGCAATTTTTATATTGCAGTTCTTAAGTGACCTAACCAGAAAAGTTGGATGATAGTCTTTGTTGAATTATATTTAAATTCTGCTTCATTACAACATCCAAACACTATCTTAATTGCAAATAATTATCAATCAGGTACTTCTATAGTCAGCTGCTTTTCTACCTCATTACTCTTTGATGTTGAAAATCAATTGTTATATTTCAAAAATTATGAAAAAGGGTGTTAGAAGTCTTAGAACTCTTGTACCTGGGGATGAATAAAGTAATTGAATAAATGGTAGGTTGCAGATCAAAAGGCTGGATATTGCTTTTCCCTTAGTTTGCGGGTCTTGTTTAAGAAAAATGGGAGACTAGAATTACTTTATCCTAAACTGTGGAGTTGCTGCATCTATGTGAATAATTCCCTAATTTCTTTTGGCCTGAGATTGGGGGGAGGGGGGACAGGGAAGTAATGTGAAATTGTCTAATGATGAGCTTTTTCAGTGAACTGCGCTACCTTTGGGAGAGAAAATTTTGATAATTATTTGACAAAGTATACAGTAATATTGTCTAATGATGAGCTTTTTCATTTAAAGTATGCTAAATTTGAGAGAGCAGAACGTGAAAATTGTTTGACAAAGTATATAGTGAAATTGTCTAACGATGAACTTTTTCATGTTAAGTATGCTAATTTCGAGAGAGAAAAATTTGAATATTGTTTGATAAAGTATATAATTAAATTGTCTAACTATGAGTTTTTTCATGTAAAATATGCTAATTTTGAGAGGGAATTAGGGAAGTGCTTGAAAATTGTTTGACAAAGTATATATCCCACTGGAGTTTGTTGTTTGGGATTGAAGGGGAACATTTACTTATTATAGGAGTAAGGAGATGGCTCTGAATTATGCTTTGGACATCCGGTTTAACTGGTATACTGTAATATTTATGAATTTTACCTTCCCTTGGCAAGGTATAAAGCTGCTGGTATTGAGGATAAGGTTGGATTTTGGGAGTTATCCTTGCCTCTTTTTTAAACCTTGGCTAAGAGGTGCAGTGTTATTGTGGACTTTTCATTTAGGGCATGCCTGGCATTCATCAACTTATTAAGGGGGTAAAAATTAAATGTGGTAGATTGTACCGGAAGATTATATGAGAGGTTAATGGGTAGGTTTTTTATATTATTTTTTATTTTTAATGTCCATTGTTTGTGCCACTACCACCAAAAGAAAAGTTTCATATTTGGTAGTTAAATAGAAAAGAAACATTTACAAAATGTATGTCATACTAGGTTCACAAATTTTCCTTTCATTTACTTTTATGGACCTCTGAATTTAATATAGTTCGCAGTGTTAAGTGGGATATGTTGAACTTCTGTATGGTAAATTGTGATTATTTTTTGTAAGGTTAAGGGCATACCACATAACTTATTGGTGTAAATGGGTATGATGTGAAGTTCTGGGGTACAAGGATGAAATCATCCTGAGTACATTGTTGAAGTTCAGGGGTTTTTTATTAAAATTTCCTAAAGAATTTGATGTCATAAGGGAAAGATAGGTAGTCAACGGAAAACCTAAAGGAGTTGGTTGCTGGAGGACTGAAAGTAAATTGGATAGGCTAGTATTCTAGTAGTGCTCCAGGTAGGCCTGTAAGTATAGTTGGGAAGAATTTCAAAAATCAACTCTGCTGTAATACGCCAAGTTTTTCTCCTGGCAACGGGATCACGTGCCTTATTGCTTTTGGCTTTTAAGGGAGGTTGTGGCAATGACATAGCTATGCTTCCATCCTTCATTAGGGAGTTGTAGGTTAATTTTGTTGTTGTTGTCCTTGTCGGTGCTATATTAATAGAACAAAAACAGGAGGCTTCTAGGTCTGTATTTTTGCTTGTGCTAGAGGTGAATACTAGCTCTCTTATATTCTCTTTGTATCCCGCAGAAGCAATAAAGATTGATATAGGGTTCTCAAACCCACTTCAAATCCCAATTCTAATCTCAAATGTTTCTCTGATATGCAAGTACTTCATTACAAGTGATGAAATGGAAAGAGGTCAGTGTTATACTTCTGATCTTGTGCACAACCACCCTTTATTGTTTATCACAACTTTTTGTATTTCTACAGATGATATTGGGTCTTCCACAAATTTACAAAATGATGAACAGCTGAGGGAGTTAATTGCTGGAGGGTATACTTTCTTAGACTTATTACATACAGTAATACTGATTAATGATTTTCCTACAAAGATGTCTAGCATTGACTTATTTTGAATTAATGTTTGCTTTCTGTTGCTTTATGGACGCAGTGATGGAAATGCAGACAAAGATCCATTTACATTGTCTGAAGTTGAATTTTCTCTCAATGGGGGTGAAACACTACTTGTAAGCTATTCTCTTTAAATAATTAAATACTGTTCTGATGAGCTCTAGTAAGGAAGTCTTGTTATTCTTTGTTGGTTAAAGTGTAGCAAGCATCAACTAATTGGCAAGGCCTGATTTTGGGATGGATGTGAATTTGGAACTTGGCTTACTCGGTTGTTTGAATTGATGGTGCTGAATTATATTGTATTTTCAACAGATGAATCAAATATATAGTAGCTGTTGTCGTGTATGCATGTAATAAGTTCCATTTATCCCTACATTCAAATTGTTTCACTGCTCATTTGCATGCGTGCTTTCAGGTACATTTGACTGTTACCCCCAAAGTAGAAGGGATACTGAAAGTGGTTGGAGTGAGGTGGAAATTGTCAGGCTCAGTTGTCGGATTTCAAATATTTGAGTCTGATCAAGTAAAGAGAAAGAATGCAAATAAGAGGAAACCTAAACAATCTAATGGAAATGAACTGACATTCTTGGTTATAAAGGTGCTTCCTATTGTGACTGTCTTATCTTTCTTAACATTTATGTGCATATTGATCTTTTTCATCATGCTATATTTTTTTTTTCTTGTTTAGTCTTTACCAAGGCTTGAAGGTTCCATCCGTTCCCTGCCTAAAAAATCATACCTTGGTGAGGTGCATCGTCTTGTTTTGGAGCTGAAAAACCACTCCAAGGTGCCCGTAAAGGTATGTATTTACTAGATTTACTGTTGGATTTAATTGGTATATATAATTCTTGCATATTGCCTTTGAAAATCATCCAATTTGGCGAGATTTCTTATTTTACATTTTATGATGTTCTTCTATCCATCTCATTTTTTGCGGTGATTGCAATTTAATATGGTCAATAATGTAGAAATGGGATCTGAGTTCCTGGATGATTAGTATTTTGGTGATGTAAAGAGAGTTTTGTTGACTGAAAGTTGTGAAAGTCAAATCGTACTTTTAACTGTTATTTTATTAATAAGGTCAATATTGGGTTATTCATAGTATTACTATACTTTTCATATTCATTGCGGGTTGGTATCCTCAGCATGGGTTTAGCTTTATGATGTGTTTTGAAGCCCTCAACCAAACATAATTCATAGAGAACCGACAAGGAATTCCTTGAATACCATTTTGAATCTGTGGAGCAGCTTGATGAATTCAGTAGATACTTTTAGGAGGCCCAATGACCATTGATCGAACCTATCGAAATTTTTACAATGTGATGGCTGGCTGTAAACTGACTCTCTGTATCTGCCCCTATCCTTTTTTGTGGTCAATATCCACAATGCAGTATTGCAGTGTATTACAGACTGTTCTGAATTAGTGTTGGATAAAAGATTGTAGTAATGGGAGAGGTTAGATTACTGATAAGGCACATTTGATTTTGTGTGTCCTAGAATGCGTTTGGGGAACAATTATGAGAATAGAGCCCAGGGATAAGTTGATATCATGTAATGCAGATTGCTAAGTTGATTTATCAACTTCATATTTATGTAAATCCACATTTTCTGGTGTAATCTACTATCTTCATCATGGTATCAAGTCTCGGCCGCATCACCATATCACGACTGCATTTTAATGGATTTTGGGATTACTGCAGCCAAAATATTAGGTCACAACAGCCATGTACCACCTGCATTGCCTGCAAAAGTGGTATGGTGACTGTTAATGCGATCGTGACTGCATCGGAGATTTCAAACCATGAATTCATGCGTGGGTTTCTGTACTACAACAACGGCAAAAACAACAAAGCATTGGTCTCTAAATGAATTTGGGTGGCTAAAATAAATCAATGAATCAACATAAGTAACCGTCCATGAAATGTGGAAGGAAAACAAAGAGATGAGTTAAAGAAATTAAGTAGAGAAAAGGGAGAGTGAAAGTGGAAGAAATCGATAGAAAACATACGGAGCAAGTATACGAGGGTGGTGTAAAGCAGAAACCCAAAGGAGGATACAAAAATCAAATTTGTGGACATTTTATCAAAGAGGCTAAGAAGAGATGCAAATTGAGGGAAATTAAAAATATATATATCTTATTTACTCTTTTTTTTTAAAACAAAAAAGGTTTTTTTTTTTTTTTTATTTATTTATTATTTTTTTTTTTATATATATATATATAAAAAATGAGAAGATCCTTAGAATGAGAAGGATGAAAATGATTTTATATGCATTTTTTTGAACTCATATTTTTTAATTGAATTTGCAAAATTTTTTTACTCAAATGTGATGTGCTTATTTTTCATCCTTCCGGAAATTTGAAAAATATCACCAGCTTGAAAATCAAAATTTGCAAATTCAGTTGAAAATATAGACATATTCAATGAATTTTTTTGTACATTAATCCTTCTCATTCTAAGAATGTTCTCATTGGATCCCAACCATAATTTATGAGATGATTCTTAAATTGAGAAGGATTTAACGGTTAATACTGCAACTTTATTGTATTAAATAATACTCAAATTATTGTAACTTAATGTGCATATATTCAAATGGCCTGATTTGTTCAATGTTCAAATAAATTGCACATGTTGAAAATGTTGCACAGAAATCAATATGCTCATTTAGTTATGAAAATATGCACAAAAGTGTATTGTATATATTCCATCGTGGATGTTGATTACAAATGAATGGTTATGATTCCTTCTTAACCTTCACATAGTCGTGCACCCCGAACAATTTTATGCACATGGCTAATATAGGCAGCGAGTCAAACTAGCTCATACAAATAGCTAGCTTATAGCTGACCTCTCATTGCTATTTTCCAAATAGGGCTTATATATCTCTCCTTACCTGTTCCCAACTCATACTTTTTTCTGTCAAAAAAAAGAAAAAATAACTATTGTATTTTTCCACTCACGTCTCTTGCTTTTGAATAAACTTTTAAGCCACGTTCACTTTTTCATAATTTTTAATTCTCCAATAAACCCCTTTTATGCAATATTTAACTTCCCTAGCGTACTCATATCACTCTCAATCACCCTCCAAGTTATCTTAGGTTATTCTCTCCAACCTTCACAATTCATCACTTTGCTACTCTTCAAGCCTCCTAACCAATGCATCATGCAATCTCCATCTTACATGGCCAAACCACCTTGATAAATTCCCCTCATCTTATATTCAATAGGTGTACACCCAACTTTTCTTCCCAATCATTATGGAATTATTGACGCTATATACCCTTTCCTGTCTGATGAACAGTTCATAAACTATTACTCTATTAGATTTGATAAGGTACCTTTCATTGTAGATTGATCGGATCTACAATTTGGGTTAATTGATCTTAATTGGGTTTTGCTACTAGAGGATTTGCAACGGTGGTTTAATAATTACAGTGAGGTCGTGAGGAAAATCTATATTTTTTTTTTTTTTTTTGCGCAGAGTTGTAAATTTTACAGTACATGGCTTAATGCCACTAAGCTAGAAATTTTCCATTGCACTTTTATTTTTTTTATTTTTTTTATTCGCTGTTTCAAGGTATTTCATATTGTAGATATTGTTTTCTGACAGGAAGCAATTCTATACATTTAGCCAGTCCAGTATCATCCATCATGATTGACCTTTATTATTACTGTTTGTTTCTCCAATTGAACATCAATAAGAAAAAGGATAAGCTGAATTTTGTATGTTTGTAATATAAACATTTTGCCTATATGTGTGAGCTTTATCTGAGGCGGATGCCTTGCAGAATCTGAAGGTGAGGATCAGTCATCTTAGATTCCTGGCTCTTGGAAGTCGAGAAGCTTTGAATTTAGAGTTTCCTGCTAGTCTTCGGATGGATAATAATGAAAAAGTTGGTCATGCTGTTCAGAGTGATGAAACGGCTTCTCTTTTCCAATTTCCCGAGGTCTGTAAAAGCAGTTCTTTAAGGGGTAATGCTTGATCAGTAGTTGCTGTGAATTATATTTATTACATGTTGGTTGTTTTCCAGGATTTTGTGATTCAAGGAGAAGAACCAGTCTTGTGGCCTGTTTGGTTTAGAGCTGCTTTACCTGGAATGATTTCTTTGTATATAACAATTTATTATGAGGTGGGAGATGGATCAAGCGTCATGAGATATCGTACCCTTCGTATGTGTCATATATGTGAGGTGAACCGATTTTCTCTAACTAGTATACTCTTGCTACTTGTAAGAAAATAATGATACTTTCCCATTTTACCAAAATTTGGGAAGTTTAGGCTCAGCTTTCTTTTCTTCTTAAGTAAGACTGTTAATAAAGTGTCATATTTTTTTGGTTAACACATGATCACCTGTGCCAGATAACAAATTGGCCAACTAAAAAGTCTTTGTACAATAGGTTTTGCCATCGCTGGATGTGTCTTTCCATGTCAGCCGTTGCCCATCAATATTGCGGGAATTTCTTGTACACATGGATCTTGTAAACAAAACTAGTTCACAGAGTTTTGAAATTCATCAGTTGTCATGTTTAGGAGACCAGTGGGACATCACAATGCTCCAACCTGTGAACATCCCATCTCCTATAATGGCAGGCCAAGCATTATCTTGCTTTTTCAAGCTGCAGGTCAGTTAAATAATTTCTGGTACATGCTATGAGATCTCATTGTGCCTCCTGTTTCAAAGAGAAAACTAACACCCCACCCCCCCTCCCCACGCGACCCCAAAAAATGAAATTTTTTAATTAGTCTTATCCACCATGGACTACACACATCAGAAAATGTAATTTTTAATAGAAGAAAAGTTGTTGAAGGAGGGAAGAAAATACCCAATCATTCAATTTCCTTTAACTGTTTCTGTAATGAACTGAATTTTCTGGCTTAATATTTCTGATTTAATAATGCAATAATAAAGATGAAAGCTTTAAGATTGATTGATAATGGTGGAAGGGTTACTAAAGATAAGTTAATAGCTTAAGGCTATTACTCTCAAATAGTGAGTTTAGCTCACAACTCTCCAAAATGGCTTTAGGATATGACTCTCTAAGGTTTCTCTTCAATACAAATTTCTGCCTCCCATCTCCTTTCCCCCCTTTCTCTATTTATAATAAAACTAAAGACTTAACCTAAAGATACTAGACTACCCATAGTGCCCCTCCTTAAATTAGTCTATTACAGTTTCTTTTCCTTGGTTTTAGAATGGCAGGAAAGCAACCATCAAAGAAGATGAAACTTCTCATTTTGAAAGCAGAGGAAGCCATGTAAAATTAGGTGCTAAGGCTCACAATGCAGATTTGTTTGATGTATCTGCCTCACCTGTTGCTGATTTCCATAAGCATGAAAGCTTGCATGAAGAAAAAATTGAGCAGGTTAATTCTCTCTCCTTAGGCTCCTTAACAAATTAAACTTGTATGATCCATGTAACTATCTCCCAAAAGGCTGCATCAATGACGATCAACGTGAGCCAATATTTACTGGTTTCCTTAACACAATTTTTTTGACTCATACTTAGTTACCTTCTCAATTGTGTGAATTATTTAAGAGGGAACTAACTTGGTTATCGCTGATAACTATTTATTACGGCCTTGAGGGTAGTAGAACAGCGGAACAAGCATCTGGAGTCTTTTTAAAAGCCATAGGGAAAAAGAAACTTGGCTATATTATTGGTGGAGGACTTAGCATATCTAGACAAAAAATAGCATCATCTTTTCCTTCAGAGAAACTTAATGATGGCTTTTTTCGGCACAAGAATCAAACATCATGGGATAAAAACCTCAAGTCTCCTGACAGTGTTGTGTCTTTTAAATTTTGTTGTAGCCCCTCAAAGAGCAATTTGATTTTAGCTTATTACTAGAACTGCAGTGGAGGGAAAAGTTCTTGCTTAAGATTCTCTTAAGAGGAATTTAGTCCCATCAGATGGTGCAGTCTTTGCAAACATGAAAAAGAATCACTGAATTACCTCCTACCTTAATGTCCTGTGGCGTCTAAGATTATCTTTTTTAGCGTTTGTTTTGTTCAATCTGACAATATCAAAGCTTTGTTTAAATTGGAATCTTAGTTATTGGAGCTGCATTAACCGAGTAAAACTAAGGAAAATTGACCATTATCATAAGTACTTGGAAAACGAAATAAATTATGGAAAATTTCTTTTATAGCTATGTATCTTTAGTCATGTATATGTTTACTAAATGCTTTAATTGCTACCACAGAGAACTAAGCAATTAATTTGAGACTTACAACAGAGGAAAACTGAACTATATTTGAATAGAGTGGAGTATTCATTAAAAAAAATGTGCAAGGAAATATAAAAACCAAGGGAAATATATAGGTCAACTGGTATGTTGCTTTTTCATTGTGTCTGCCTCCCGTGCTACGCAGGCATGAACCATTGTACAGAGTGATTGTTATTTCATCATTTCTTGCCTACCACCATTGATGGGAAACCCATGCTACAGGTCACTTCAGTAATCTATGATCCTATTTAAGTAATTTGCACCCAAATTCACCATCATTTGCATGTTCTTTTCCACAACTCTAACCCATCAAACCTAATATGGCTGTATTATGCATTTTCAATTCTTGGCTACAGATTAGTATGGGCTTTTGCCTTGCAAAATTTACCACTATAATTGACTTTTTGTACACTGATAGATGTCACCACATGTGATCTGTCACATGTTGAAAATAAATTTGACTAAAATTTTAGCTTCACTAGTTCTGTATAACATCTAGGAGAATAGTGTCTTTTCCTTAAAAATAAGGATGCATACATCTAGCTTTTGTTGCCCCCTGAGGGCCCTGGCCCTCCTAGATGTAATTTTGTTTCTGGTATTGAGGTAATCTTACTAATCCAGTTAAATGATCATTGGTCGAACAGGTGCTGAAAACTGAAATGTTTCATCTGCAGAAGTTACCAAACTTGTTAGATTCACTGCATTGTCGAGTTGAATTGGTTATCTTCAAATAAGTAAATCGGGTCAATCTAGAAGAAAATTTCTTAAATATTGCTTGACTATCACTTTAGTATATTATGCTGTAACATTGCCGTATCATGAACTCGTGACTGTGATTTGTTGTTAATGTATTGATCTGCAAAATAGATATTGGGTTGAGATTTAGAGATTTAGATAAGAACTAAGGATCTTGGAATTTTGTTGCTGTATATGATTTGACTTAGTTTACTTTTTACTCATCAGCGGAGATATGCTGAAACAGTGGATTTCATCTTAATGTCTCATCCTCATAATATGAGCACTGAGTCTGCAGATCATTCTCGGCTTTTTTCTCATCACACTTGTCTTTGCAGGTTAGATCTATGTCAAGCTTAATTATCCCTTTTGTATGTTATGTAGTGTTCCATCTTTTGCCTATTGAAACCACTTCCTCCTTTATCTGGTGCTAACCGCTTCCTTTTTTGTAGTGTTGCAAGTAATGGTCCTCTTTGTTGGATGATGGATGGGCCCAGAATGATTCACCATAATTTTGGTACCTCTTTATGTGAAATAAATTTAAAGATAAGAATCCACAACTCTCTTGACGCTGCAGTGTCTGTGCGCATTGATCCGGAATCTGGCTCTAGCACCAGCCAGTCAAATAATTCTAGTGCCTCTTCTGAAAACCGAGCTGGATGGCATGAAGTTTCCTTGGCTTCTGAAGGTAAGATCACCTCGGATACTCTTGGAAGCACTCGACATGACCAGCAAATGTCTGGAGAGAGTGCATCCCCATTTATATGGTGTGGATCAAGCTCTACCAGAGTCAAAGTGGCACCGTTGTCCACTACCGAAGTACCAATTCAAATTTGTGTATTTGCACCGGGCACTTATGATATATCTAATTACCAATTGCACTGGGAATTGTTGCAATCGGAAGGTGGTGGTTGTGATGCAGACTCTAAGCAGTCTTCTGGGATCTTTCCAGGCCAATCCTTTTATCTCACTGTGCTGCAGTCTACATAATTGAATATGCTGGAACTTGGTTCTGCATCACATGTATGTGTTGATCTAAGTACTTGGGTTTCCATCAAAAAACAGAAGCTACTCTTTGGCTTGTATATTATTTATAGTCATTGATATCAATTTTGGAAATAGAAGATGTTGAAAGGCTCAAGCATTTTTGTTATGTATGGTTGGAAGTTGGAAGATAGTTTAACCTCCTTTTTAGGTGATCCAGTGTTCTAATCTCAAGTTGGATGTTTAGGTTAGTAGAGTCGCCAACAGTTTATTTGGATTAGCGGCTTATATGTACAATTTAATAGAGCTATTGTTAGGACAAGTTTGATTGATCAGATGTAATTCATTGCTTGTATCATCCACCCATACATAAGCTACCCTCTCAATTGAATCATGTTTTCGGTCAAAGATTAAAAAATGATAATAAATAAATAAAAATTAGATTTTAACCCAGATCGATACATAAAAAAAAACCCTAAGCCCTACCCAGCCACCAGCCCACTACCGGCCACCCTAACCTTAACCGTCGGCAGACCATCAGCAGCTGTCACCCGGTTAGTCGGTTACCCCACCCTCCTCAACCAGTCTCGACAAACCCCATCAACTATCAGCTTCCTCGAAACCCCCTTCCCAACCTTCCCCCACCAGCGCCGTTCGACCCCCAGCCGCAACTCCCTAAGTGAATCGCTAAACATCGCCCGCAAATTACCATATAAAGCCCACAAATATGACTTGGTGTGACCATTATGCCCATTTTCTAAAATTGAACAAATCTCGGTTTAAAAAATGTGGAGCCGTACTGGCTCGCCGGGGGAGACCGGAGGGCAGGCCGGAGATGCGGGGGACGCCGGAGGTACGTCGTCGTCGACGAAAAACGAGGTAAGTTACTGTTAAAATTCACGGTTTACCGTCGGAGTGGCTTCGGCGCCTAGGATGGACGCCCAAACCGTAGCCTGAACGTCCAAGCCAGACGCCAGAACCACCACAGTGGCGTCCAGCCCAGACGCCCAGACCACCAGACTGGCGTCCTGGCCAGGCGCCACTCTACTGGCTGAGGCGGCCCTGCCAGGCGCCAGTCCAGTGGCTGTGGCAGCCCTGGCAGACGCCACCTTTATATATATTTTTTTATTTTATTTTTTTCTTTTTTGATTTTGTTGTAGTTTTTTATTTTATTTTTTTTTTTAAAAAAAAATCAAAAATGATTTTTTAAAAAAAATCGAAATGGGTTTTTTTAAAATTAATTTTGAAAATTCGAAATAGGTTTTTTTTTAAATTAAGTTTGAAAATTCGAAATGGTATATTTTTAAATTTAGTTTGAAAATTCGAATTGGGTTTTTATAAAAATTAAGTTTGATTGTTGAGAAAGGTTTTTTTCTAAAATTAAGTTTGACAATTCGTAATTGTATTTAAAAAAAATTGGAAATTGTTTATGTGACTTTTATAAATGATTGTGTTTAAAATTTGTATGTGTATGTGTATGAATAATATTATACATAATTATGCTTTTTTTTTGTGTTAATTCTGTGTAAATATAGAAATTAAATGTATTATCCGTTAAATGTATTTATTATAATATATAATTGATGCAGGATTATGGTGGAGACGAAAATGATTACAGTGGGATATTTGGACATGATGTTCCATTCGAAGAAGCTCAACAGGCGATTGATTGGGCAAAACAGGTTGCAATTGCAGCTGGATTTTGCTTGGTAGTAGTAACTCACAAATCTCAACGGGATGGTAGAATGGATCGCATTTTGAGATGTGACCGTTATCGCAAAAGAGAAGAAAGAGATTTTCGTACAGCCACTCGGTTTGATACAAAGCGGAAAGGTTGTGGGTGTGAGTTCAGAGTAAAGGTTCGACAACTACGGAGTCGTGACGGTTGGGAAGTGATTGGTTACTCTAAATGGGGGTATCACAACCATGAGATGATAGTATATGAAGAGGGTCATCGATAGCAGAGCGGCTTAAGTCCTGCTGCGAAACTAGTTGTGAAAGAAATGAGTGATGCTCAAGTCAAGCCTGCTAAAATATTAGCATCTGTGTTAGAGAAATTTCCAGAAGACCATCCAAACCGAAGACACATCTACAACGTCAGACAGCAACTTAGGTTTGAACGGTCAGAGGGAAGGAACCCTATACAGCAGCTGCTACACCAGGCACAATCACGTGGTTACTTGTTCTGGTTTGATTCTGATGAAGATACAGCGGAGGTGACTCATCTTTTCCTTGTGCATCCTGATTGTGCTGATATGATCAAGTCTTGGCCATTTGTGATTTTGATCGACTCAACGTACAAGACAAACAAGTACAAGTTCCCACTGGTTGAGATCATGGGGATGACTCCAACGAACCAGAACTTTCTGATTGGTCATGCAATCATCAAGGATGAGACGGCTCCAAGTTATTATTGGGTGTTGGAGAAGCTGAGAAACTACATCGGGCCTAATGTTCATCCAGCAGCCATCGTCAGCGACTGTGAGGGAGGTCTCTTTGCCCCCATAGCAGAGCTGTTTCCAAAATCGAACCACTTATTGTGCACATGGCACATCAACAACTGCGTGAAAGTGAAAGCCTACAACCTTTTCAATAAGAATTTGGAAATGGCAGAGAGATTGGTGAATGGTAAGTGGCGGAAGATCCTACAGGCTACCACAAAGGAAGCGTATGAGCGAGAATTGGCTAACTTCAGGGATTCGTACCAGTGGTGTCCGGCTGGTGGAATATGTGATGCAGCAATGGGTCCCTCACAGGGAAAAGTTTGTCAAATATTGGACAAACCAGGTACTTCATTTCGGGAACACTACAACATGTAGAGTTGAGAGCGCTCATAGAGCTACCAAGGACTGGATTGATTCATCGACCGCTGCTTTGGATACACTGTTCGATAGACTTAACAAGTCAATTGAAACTCAGAAGAACGGCATCAGGAACTCTCTAGAGGACTCCAGACGACGACATGGTACGATGTATAGCCATTTCATATTTAAGATTCTCCATGGTCGTGTGTCGCACTACTGCTTGGGGTTGATTCTCACTGAGCTGAACAGGATGAGGGACTTGGCTGACGAAGTGTATGCTCGGTGTGGGTGTGCTATTTCAGTAACTCATGGATTACCTTGCGCATGCACCATTCACCGCGTTATTACAGAAGAAAGGGCGTCGTTACATGTTGATCAGGTCCATTCATTCTGGCGGACGCTCGTTATTGGTGAGCATGCAGACACTCAAACGGCCGACCGTGAACAGGAGGAGTTGGAGCAGTTTCGTTCGATGTACGACCGAGTGTCCTCCAGCCATCCTTCTATTATTCGTGACGCTACTCATGTACTTCATGACATGTTCCACACGTCTACCTTAGATTATGAGGAACCCGAAGGAGTTGACCGTCCTCGAGGTCGGCAACGGCGGAACAAGAGTGCGTTTGAGTATATCCGTGGTCTTGGTCGTGGTCGTGCTCGTGGTCGGACATCGTCATCTAGTCGTAGTCAATCTTCATCGTCTGTGAATATGCCCCTGAGAACTGGTACGTTTTGGTTGTTTACATTGCACATAGTTTTAAAGTGTTACTCCTGCCTTCTTAACTGTCTATAATTATATGGTGAATAGGAAGAAACGATGTTGATCAGTTTCCGTACAAGGACAGGATACCTGTGATCATCATGTCGTACTTGGAAGGGTGGAATGATGTAGTCGGAGATGGTAACTGCGGATTCCGGGTCGTGGCTGATGTTTTTCAAATGGGCGAAGACAACTACGGTTTGGTGCGTCAGTTGATGTACAGCGAAATTGCCTCTAACTGAAATGTTTATCGTCATGTGTACTAGGACGACTTGGATGGCGCTCTACGGCGTATCCGGTGGGGAGGTGGACCTTGCGGCCAAAATCATTATTTTGACGCGCCCCTAGACCTGTTTGCCGTTGCAAACATTTACAAATGCACAGTCATGCATTTCGGCCTGGGATTGCATAGTCAAGCTTATTATCCTTATACCACGGTTCTCCCTTGGCGGTCGCGTGAGACTGTCACCACACCGGTCAGAGAGGTAGCTATTGCGTTTCTTGGGTCGTCATACAGACATTTCATCCGACTAGACATGTCATCCGATTTTCCAGTGCCATCGATTATACCTCGGTGGTACACTATTCGCACAGCGAGCGTAGAGGGTTGGGATGCGCTATATCATGACCGGATCCACGAATGGAACACCCTAGCTGCATTTTAGTTTTTCATGTTTACATTCTTCCTATGTAATCTTATTTGTACGTTGCTCTTTTAATGAGAACATTAATCTTTTATATTGTATTGCTTACTGCATTCTATATGTTGCATGGGTAAGTTGCGCGGATCCACGAACGGTTATGTCAAAATTTAAAAACAGCAATGATAATATGTTTAAGTTGGAAGCTAAAAGAACAATCTAAAATGTTACAAACTTACAACATAATGTCCAATTTAATAAATTAAAACGATAATATTTAAAGTGCTCTATAAATAAAATGACAAAACCATCAGTAATCCCTCCTCGACGCCGAATCCCAATGCGCAAGGGTCTGTTCCAGACTATCAACAGCAGCTCTCACTGTTGCACTCATGATGTCCTTCTCCAGAGAGAGTTTCTGAACATCCTGCATTATCTTTCCCATCCACTGCATACAACAAAAAATAAAAGATGAAATACAATAACAACATATAAAACTTAATTAAAAGACAACGATAAATATAATATGAGACATACCGCTTCCATGGCAGTAGGCGGTGGCACATAATCATCATCGTTATGGTCGAGATCTGCGATCAACCTCGGGTGCGAATACCAGTTGAACCATTCCATGTAGTAATGGTCACACATGGGAGTAACCCCAGAGGGCGGCCGCTGCAACTCCGCAGTCCATAAGCGGGCCACCATCGGAAACTGGTCTCACGTCCCGGTCATGATATCCGGCCATTGCACGATGTAGTCCCTCGACGATGCAGGTCGGACCGCCTTCATCGGGCATGCCGGGGGAGGAGGGACAACTTGGACAAATCCAAGCTGGCGAAGACAACGCTGGGGCATGTACGCCTCGACGATCTCACGATACTGAATGAGTCCCGTGTACAGGGTCCTGGGTACCCTAACACTAGGGTTCGGGCCGAAAGGCATCCAGTTCACCTGCACATAGTTTTAAAATTTAATAACATGAATATAATATGTGCAAATAATAAAATGTAGAAACAATTTATAAACGTTACCTCTAAGGGGGACAGCCTGTCCAGCAATAACTGTATCGATCGGAGGCGGTCAACGGACTTCTTCTCCGAGCGCGGACTCCACACACAAGCACGCGGCATCCCCTCATCAATAGGAACCGGGTCACGATGTGGTCGCAATGCAGGAAAGTACTCGT